GTTTAAATAGGGGGCCTACAAAACGATCAGCCCCAGGGCCTGATGGCAGGTTAAGGCGGGCTTATACACACGGTATCACTCCGCAGCCGCACCCCATCAGTAACGTCCTGATGGTATATGTGCGCGGCACCATTACTACAGACGGTCAACTTGAAAAATCACTCGCAAATTGTTAACGATGCCGAGCCGCTTTAAAGTACACAAGTAGTACGAGGAACTTAGCGACGCACATAAAGAGGCGACGTGGGGTCTGCGGCTGAAAAGAGAAACCTGAAAGTGAGACATATGAGTTAAATAACTCAGTGAGGTGTTCTGTCAGAGAGAGGTGTTTAGCTTACAGCAGCCTGTGACGGCCAATAATAATTTAAATGTCTTCCTTACTGTAAGCAGTTATGAAATACCTGTTTGTGAAAGGTTATTTGTTTTCTTTATTGTTCAGATAGAAACCACTGCTTTCTGCTCACTGGTGAGTTAGCCTCTGAGTGTTAAGCACATCAGGCTGGCAGCTGTATGGGCATTGCTCTATGGTAGCTGTTATTTGCACATTGTTAATCATGAGCAATGCATCCTTACATTGTTTAACTGTGAGGTGTTATACAACAATTGTACTCTGGAGAGCTTTTAAAGGTAAAAAAATAAACGGCATGATGGGATGTGCAGTACCAAATATGTAAAGCACTTTTTTGTTAATGTATGATTTGCTGCATATAAGGAATAAAACAAAAATCCTCTGTCGTACCATATTGAAGTATCATTATTTTTGCATCGTGTTTAATCGCATCGTATCGCCCCGAATCGCATAATGTTGAATCAAATCGTATCGAACTGTATCGCAACAGGGGTGAATCGTATCGTATCGCATCGCCTGGTGTTTCAAAGGTATCGTTAATGTATCGTATCGTGGCAACGTATCGAGATGCGCATCGCATCGGCCTCAGTGATGGAGATGCACATCCCTACTATGGAGAGAATAATAAACAAACAACTAAAAACTTACAAATAAACATTTCTGACATTTAAAAAAACGAGACCAGATACAAATATAGCCACCCTTCTCTTCCATGGCAGTCACAAGCCTTCCATTCATGGAGTCTGTCAGTTTCTTGATCTGTTGACGATCACCTTTTGTTGCAGCAGCAACTCAAGCCTCCCAGACACTGTTCAGAGAGCTGTATTGTCTTCCTTCACTGTACATCTCTTGTTTAAGAAGGGCCCACAAGTTCTCAATAGGGTTTAGGTCAGGTGAGTAAGGGGGCCATGTCATTATTATTTCATCTTTAAGGCCTTTACTGGCTAACCACGCTGTGAAGTATTTTGATAAATGCAATGGAACATTGTCCTGCATACAAATCATGGTCTTCTTGAAAGACGCAGAGTTTTTTCCTGTACCATTGCTCGAAGAAAATGTCTTCTAAAAAATGGCAGTGGATTTTTGTGAGCTGATTTTGAGTCCATCTTTAACCCGAAAAAGCTCTAGCTCATTTTTAATAGTACCAGCCCATACCAGTACCCCACCTCCATGGTGTCTGAGTCAAAGTAAAGCTCTGTGCCCTTTACTGATCCAGCATCCACCCATCTTGCCGGTCAGAGTCACTCTCATCTCATCAGTCCTTAAAGCCTTTGAAAAATATGTCTTCACATATTTCTTGGCCCAATCTTGACGTTTCACCTTATGTGTCTTGTTCAGTAGTGTTCAGGGTTTCAGCCTTCCTTACGTTGGCCATGTCACTTTGTACTTCTGGAAACTCCAGGTTGGTTACAGTTCTGGAATATCACGTTCGATTTTTCTCAAATCTTTTCCATTTAATAAGTGTCTTTTTTCTCAATATGTTTCCTGCGACCCTTTTGAGTATTTGAGACAAAACGTTTGAGGGTTCTATGATCACGACCCAATATCTTAGCAATTTCAAGATGTTGCATCCCTCTGAAAGACATTTAAACATTTTTTGAGTTTTCAGAGTCAGTTAAATCTCTTTTTTGGCCATTTTGCACGAGACAAATGAGCTGTGTAATAGTTATGCACACCTTCATGTAGGGTGTTGATCTCCTTAGGCCAAACCCTCCCTCATTACACAAATACACATCACCTGATATCTTAAATCCAATACGCATTCAAGTTTATACAGCTTGGAGTTGGAAAATGTGCATTCAAATTATGATATGGTCCAAATACTCACTTTGCACACAGTGTAATTTGTATAATAGTGTAATAATTGTTATGATTATAAAACAAAATCAGTAAAGTACCCCAATTTTATTTTGTTTAAAACTGTTTATATACTTCTTTTATCCAAAAGTAATGTTTTGTTATATTACATAAACTTGCACCAGCTGTGGTATCAAAGACCGTATGCAGTACATGGGCACCCTGCGAGTCTGAATGAGCACACAGTGTAAAGGCAGGTGCTCATGTGAATCCACACCTACACACACAAATGATTGCAAAAGCTCACTAACACAGCACTGCAGCAGATGGATCAGTATCTCTCTGATGCAGTCTGGTATTTCCTGCCAGCACATGCACTGTGACTAGCTTCCAGATTGCAACCAAAAAATTAATTAATTCTAGACACCTAAAGCCAAGTTCCATTTGTATTGTGATAAATGAATCATTGTGGATTCTGAAGATATTAGTTCACAGAACGACAGCTCCACATCTTGCATGACTTACCCCCAGGGATCAACCGGATATTGAAGCAAATGTTTGAATGCTTCTGCTCTCTTCCACTTACTGTCCGTGTGCTAATGTCATTTCTTTATGATTGTCAAATGAACAGGCTCTTCAACTACCCTTTGTGCATTTCCCTGAAGTTACATTTTCTTGGTTCTCCCTCTTTTACTTTTCTGTCTTTTACTCTCTGCGCTGCGTTTCCCCTGATGTCAGCCTTTTGTCTTGCTTCTCCCTTGAATTCTCTCCATCTCAATCTTGTTGTCTGGCTTTCTCTCCATCCCCGTCCTCTTCCCTCAATATGTCCCTCCACTGTCTCTCCCTCTCTCTCCTTTGGTCAGTCTTACCCTCCCTCCTCTCCTCTTACCCCACATCTTTCATCCACTACCTTTTTATCTCTCCATCACCCCGCTGAACTACTGATTTAAAGATTGTTTTAGATGTCCCTCCACCTCAGGAAGGAGGGGGCAGGAATTCACTGGAGCCTGAATGAGTTTCTGTGCTGTCTGTCTGTGATCTAAAGCCCTGTCTGCAGTTAAAGCCCATCCATCCGTTATCCACAACCTTTCACAGTCTCTGGAAAACAGTCACTGTGGATATTTAGTTTAATATCCATCTTACAGTACCATCAGGGCCCGTTTTGTCTGTCTGTCATCATGTCTGTCTTGAATTATTAAGAGAGGAGCCAAAAAGGCTACAATACTTTATGTGTGTGTGTGTGTGTGTGTGTGTGTGTGTGTGTGTGTGTGTGTGTGTGTGTGTGTGTGTGTGTGTGTGTGTGTGTGTGTGCGTGTTCTTGTGTGTGCAGTTACAGTACAGTAAAGTGAGCATGATGGCACCGTGTGTGTGTGTGTGTGTGTGTGTGTGTGTGTGCGCGCGCATGTTCTTGTGTGTGCAGTTACAGTACAGTAAAGTGAGCATGATGGCACCTTGTGTGTGTGTGTGTGTGTGTGTGTGTGTGTGTGTGTGTGTGTGTGTGTGTGTGTGTGTGTGTGTGTGTTGTACGTGCCTGAATGATGTGTTTGTACTATGATTCAATTTTGTGTGAATGCATGTCATAATGGAGAAATCCCCACAGCGCAACTACACGTCTGTCTCCTACAAGAATCACTATTTCAGATTTTCCGGGCAATTAGATGATTGAGAGAGCAAATCTGTTTGGTAATTAGACATGATATGGAGCAGAAGAACAACACATGACAACAACTCTGTCCTTTCTCCTCTTCAGGGAAACATTTTGGTTGGAGTATTCTGGAAATGCTAAAACAGATACCTTAATGTAGTAAGCACGCCATTCTGCCTCGTTGCTGAATCCAATGTGTGCTTTAATTTCTCACAAGTGATATTTCATAATTCCAAATAATTCCAAATCTGTTCATAATTTTGCTACATTTTAAACTAAAAGCCCTGTTATTGTTAGATCACAGCTGCCAATTTTCACATTACTCCCACATTCCTCTTGTTTTTATACAGCACTAACTGTCATTACCAGGGATGTATTATGAGACATGACAATACAAAAACTGCACTTCATTTACTGGCGAACCATCGATACTGTGATGAGGATTTGTCTAACACTACTACACCTGCTCATTAACCTCTCTTAGTAAATAGATATTGCTTTATAGATTTGGGATTCTTTAGTTTAAAGCTCTTAAAACTGAAAAACAGTTCTGCCTTGCATCTCCTGATGTGAGGCACAAGCGTATAATGGCGAACTCTGAGTCAACTATTTCTATCCGTGCTTTCCACACTGTTCCACCTGAGTGCTCATAGGACTGTGTCAAGAAACAACAAATATCATATCAGGTCAAAAGAAAAACAGCAATTATTTCATAAATAAATATTACTATTGACACCATTTTGATGGAATACATTTTTCACAGGCCCTTCATCCCCTTGAGACCTTCAGAAGCTGTTGCAGCCACCTTGGGGGGTCCCAGCCTGAGCATGGAATCACTGATATGGAAAATAAAAAATCCATTACTATTTTACATCCCTAACCTTCGCCTCCTCTCTTCTCGCCCCTGTGTTACAGCGGTACAGTGTGGGAACCCAACCACACCTGCTCACGGACGTATTTCTCGCGTGGACGGCACAACCTTCTCCCACTCCATCGTGTACTCTTGTATGGAGGACTACTTCCTCACTGGCTCGCCCACACGCCAGTGCCTCGCAAATGGAACATGGTCTGGAGCAGCTCCAAACTGCACAAGTGAGTTTTATATGCACAAAATAACAGAAACGCAACTGAGCACAATGTATTGTTGCTCGGCTGATCTTGATTTAGCTTGAAAAACAACAAGATATGCGCTCCCTTTCTGCGTGGCAGTAAATCCTGGCTGCCCAATTACTATCGTCCATGTATGTCAGTATCTCAAGAGTCTGCTGTGATTCTTTATAAACAAATTAGACTTGTAATGTATACAGTAAGGCAGATAGCCCCCTTTGAAAAGAACTATGACAGACAGGACTGATTTTTCGTTCCCTATTTCTTCCAAAAGTAGGCGCTCTAAATGATCCACAGAGGTGTTAAATAGCGCATACATCTCTTTGAGTCTTCTCTCGCTGCGAAGCGTCTGAACTGTCAGGCATTTTTTATTGTCTGGATCAAATGAGCCTTGCAGTAATTAAGAAGTATGCCAATCTATATTCAATTTGCACGAGGGTAACTATCAAACAAAATTACACATTGTTCTTCTCTCTGAAAATCCCCATTTTCTCTTTTTTTCCTCATTCTTCTTTCTTGTTATTGAATCACAAGGAAAGATAAATGGTATGGGCATAATTTTCAATTTTGGAATGAAATTAGTCTCTGGATAGATATACACAGGGATGGAGGGAGGAAGAAAGAAAGATTGAAAGCTGGATTGAATAATAATGATCAAACATTCAGGAAGGCAGAATAGCTTTCCTGCCTCGTTTGCCAACTTGTAACCCTGCTCATCACCAAACGTATTATTGCTACCCTCCTGTATGCTATCAGGTCACATTTTAGTGGTCAGTTCAGGGGCATCAAAATGCCATCAACATCAACAAGATGCCAAGATTGGCTCAGTGTGCCTTCATTAAGGAGGCAATCATTTTCACGGTTCATAGGTAATCGATCATTTAGGTTACCAAATCAAAGTCACACAACCTTCTCAAGGGGAGAGAGAAAATGTGTTCCTTCCTTTTTTTTATGTTTCATAAATGAAATGTATAGAGCATTTTAGGGAATTAGGGAAAGTGCACTAGGAAACATACATGCTCGCTAAACTGTGAAATGAAACCATAGAGCACTTTATAAAGCGCACAGTAAACACGGATTATACACAAAAACGGTTTATCTTGTAACGTGCTGCAATCCTAATGATTTCTTCTCCTTTCTTTTTACTTGTTCTTGTATTCTTCTCTTGTCTTCTCAATTTCTTTCCTCTCACCATTTAACCACCAGCACAGTCCATGTGGATGTGGGGTAATGGGATGTGGGGATGGAAGATAGCATTAAATGAAGTCATCCGTGCAAAATGCCTATTAGTGCATTTAGCAGTAACCACTCAGATTTCTGCCTCAATCTGATTCCTAAAACGTATTTAATTGACCAACATTTTTATCGTATAGTTGTGTATATAAAGCTTCCAAAAAACTAAATTAAAAGTCTGACTAAAACTGAAATAAGTCTTAATTGGTTTCCACATCAATGCTTTGACATAAAAAGGAAATAAACTCTTCATAATGCTGCATCGTTTGTCACTAACTCGCTTACAATAAATTAGCATAGTTAAAAAAAATCATGCAGTTGGACATACAGAGATCTGTTACTGACCAACGCATTTGAATGCAGGTTTTACTTGGAGCAGTTACTGCAGTGCATGTACATTCCCCTGAATTCCTGCCGTAACCTATTTTCTCCCAGTAACCTGTTGTTCTGGGAGCAAGTCAATGTTGTAAATTAAAAAGCTGTATAGTTTAGTTGTTGAGAAGTCAACAGCCTGCAGCTTCTCTGCATTGTGCTGACTGACTGTTTAAAAAAAAAAAGTACTGCTGATAGACAGAAACATAAACATTTGCATTCATGCACAGTACACACATGCTTTTCCTGTCACTCTATCTAATAAGATCAACTTCCATAGCCACACGAGATATTTTGTGTTGATACAAATTTCTCAGCTGTCTTTCATTTCATGCCAGCTGCTTCTGGCTTATGTTGGGAGACACATATCATGCTTAATTTAAGATAATGTGTTGCAGTCCAATTTGTGTGGCTCAGATTCAAAGTGGACTGAAGAACTGAACTGCCGCAAACAAAAACATTTAAGTATAGACACCAAAATGTGTGCATTCACACATACAGTAATGTAGTTACACTACAACAGCTGTGGAATGTGCATTTACTAAGCTCATAGGGATATTCTTAAATACATTATTATATTATTTTATTCCACTTTCTACTTCTAGCACTCTACATTTCATATGGATAATTTATGATATATATATATTTAAAGCATTAAAGTGTTGCTTTTAGCACGCCGTTAAGATTCACAGATTAAGATTTCTGCATCCAAAACATACACAGAGTTAATACATATGCTCCTTTCCATAAAAAAACCCAAAAGTTCATATAAGTGCAGCTGAAATTATGGTTTAAGAATAAATACTTTCAAAAAGAAGCTCCAAATCAATATTCTGGCAGGAAGTAGAAAAACATTCAATTATACGTTAACAAATAATGCTGCACAAATGGCCTTCTTCAGGTTGTTTTATTCCAATTTATTCCATCCATTTTTATTTCATACTTTATTGCCATATCAACATGACTGATTTGAATATTTCTCAGTGAGCATCTTAAGCAAAGACAAAGCAAGACAAATAGTAAAGCCACTCACTCATAAAGCACATCATACTTTAAAAAAAGTATAAAACCGACAGTTAATATCCATAACCATAACATAGTCGTTAAAGCATAAAACAAATGGGTAAAATCAAATCAAATAAAACACGGCAGACCATAGAGAACAACATAGATAAAACACTAGCACCTGTAGGGAAATTAGCAGGAATATCAAACAACCCACTAAATAAAGTGCTTGAAGTGCATTAAAAACATCTGCTCAACAGTACACTTATTTATCCTGCCAAGTGGCCTGCAGTGCTGTTTGGTTCGTGTTTATTTGCAGAATATGTGCCGTTTGGGAACCTGGGTGTTCTGGTCTCAGTGCTTCTTCAGGCTTGTCTGATAGTAATAACTGTAATTTCTATAAAAACTAAATTATTGGCTGTTGGACTGCACAGCTTAACATATTTTCTGAATGCTCATTAACAAAGAACACATCAGTTTTACCTTTTCATATTTCTAACTAAAGTCGGGATGGAATGATGGGTATAGTACACTGGATCTGGGATTCATTAAGTAACAAGGATATTGTTGCCTAGATAAACAATTTCTTGTTCAGTTAATTACTATATGCGTGGATAAATACCACTTTCAGTATGAGCAGGAAAATATGTTCTTGCTTGATTTAGAGTAACTGACCCAAAAAATGAATTCATTATCTGCACAATCAGGAAAGCCCAAGACAGGTTGGTTTTATTACTCACACAAACCATTTCCATAAAATGCACACAGCAGAGCTTTTGTAAAAAATAAAAACCATTGACTCAAACATGACTCATTGCTTATCAAACATATCAATCGTAACTGTACTGTAATTCAATCAACTGACATAGATTACAGGTGCCATAATGCGGTTACTTTGAGGTGGATGTAAAATGGAATTCCTTATCAGATAGCACACATCAAATAACCATATAAACCTGTGCCATAGATCAAACCTGTGCCATAGATCAAACAAACATCAAACATATAATCATCCATATAACAAGATTTTCAGCATGGTACTGTTTTAACTGTTGGTATAAATTCATTAGAAAGTGAGCAGGATTGAACAGCTATTAACTCGAAACCTCAGGTGGTGGCAAAGAGAGACCAGACTTCTCTTCTGTGTTCACATCTAGCCCTCTGATATATCTCGTCAGGATACAAAGTTATTCACCCAGCGATGATAAATGTGTCCAAGTGTTGAGGTCCTTGGCAGCAGTTGAAAATAAACAAACAGAAATTGATTTAAGGGAAGAGGCGTTAGCAGGGACAGCCATATGCATCAAACTGGCTTCTTACATTAAAGTGAACAAGTCGGGAATGATTTTGTAATAAGTATACACAAATTAGGTCTGTAAGATTAAACAAGGTCTATGAAAAAGCAATCAAATGCAGGATGGCAATTTACACTTCAGAGATAGCACTAGTTTAAGACCTGACTGTGTACTGGGCCAACACTCGGCCATCTGTTTACTTTGGAGAAATGGTGCCATAAGAAGAAGAAGAAGAAGCCAAGAATAGCCATGTGAAAAAAGAGACTGAACCAGAATGAGTGAGGGAGAGGAGCTTCCCAACAATACTTTATTTAGTCGTTTTTTTTTATTCAGACAAAATATTTACCAATATCTCCAAAATGATACAACCAGGTGCATAGAAGGGGAATATATAGATACAACAGAATATAGCTATTAGGAATACTATAACAAAACAGACAGCACAACGGATGCTGTGTGATGATGCCTAATAGGCTAATATGGCTACAGCTGTATAATCAATGCCTATCAATATCTCCTTTCTCCACATAATTGAACATCATAATAGACGCCGTGAAAATCATTTTTTAGTTATTTTTATTTCCCAGCATATGCACAGGCAATCTAATTTGTAAAAATCTGCTGCACAAAACTTTTATATTTTAATGTCGGTTTATAGAATCATGCAAAACTAATACAAGGCTGCTATACAATGTTCATACTGCAAGTGTTGTTGCATTTTAATAAGGAATTGTCAAGAAGACTTTTATTTAATGCCGAATACGTAGTTGCATGTTTATTATACTGTCCAGTGGAAACATTTTTTTCCCACAATGAACTCCTATTTGGTGGAAAAACTCAATGATGCTATGTTCAGTAAGCCATATTCATCATGCTGTATTCGGCACCAGGAAAACGTTCAGACTAAATATGTGGTCGAGAGGATGATTATTAATCTCCACCCACCATTTTTGCCTTTAGCTGCACACAATTAGCAAGTGCATGATAATGCCCTGTTGGCTTAAATGAACAAATGCAAGATAAGGAAACCACCAACCTCGCATGGAAAAGCTTAAAAGAAGAACAATTCTATAATGAAACGCATGTCCTCCCTGTCTTCAGAAAATATATTTAAAATGTATGTTTTATTTTAAATATAGGTTATATATCATATTGCAACTCAGTGACAACTCAGTATGTCACTGCTCAACACAATTGAATGTGATATCTGATGCAAGTTCCTTATTTTTCACGACCGATGACAGTGATCACCTGTGGCGACCCCGGTATCCCAGCAAATGGACTCAGATTTGGAGAAGAGTTCACGGTGGGCCAGAATGTGACGTACATGTGTCAGCCTGGGTACGTGATGATCGGAGAGGACAGCGCTGATGCAAGGACCTGCACCAGAAATGGCACCTGGAGTGGCACCATGCCAGCGTGCAAAGGTAATAACCACCCACAAAATGCACACACTCGCATACACTGCATTGTGGACGCTAGACAGTCAACCTTGATAACCATCAGACCGTTCTGTAACAACCTTGGCATCTTAGCTCACTGTCACATGCGAAATAAAGTACATGCTTACTTCATGAAATCTAATAAGATTAGAAAGCAAGGTGACACAGAACTTCTATATGGTCGCATAGCGTCATATTGTGTGCTTCAGTGTGTTGATAACGGAATTACCAACAACACATAAGGTTGAATCTCTACAGTCACTTCACAAATGCAGGCGCCTATATTCGGATATTAAGTATAAACATACACCCACATAAACATTTCATGCAATTTTGAATGTGTTTTGCAAAATGGTGTCCAGTGAATCACTACATTACAAAAGTGCTACTATATTTAATGAGTCCCTAGATAAAAGAAAGCCTCACTCGACTGGCTTTCAGAAAAGAAAAAAGGGAGGTAATACTTTTTTAGAGCCCTTGATCTGGGACATAGTGATTTCACCCACACCTGCATCTAGAGTTGTTGCACCTGTGCTGGTACGTAGCCAGAAGCTAAAAGTTCCTCTGACACCTCATGATGGATGGCTAACAAGTCCTCTTCATCACAACAAGGATGCCTCTAATTGTACTCCTAACAGTTAATCATTGGCTTCCTCTCTCTTAAAGTTTCTGCGCACGCACTCAATGAGCTTGATTTACATCAGAGTTAGAAAATCCACTAAGAGGACTTAGCTGTTGTACGCCCATCAGCGCTACATCACTCTATGATTTATGACGCTCGAGCAGAGGCATAGATTAGCATGTCTGCCATCGACACCCAAAAGTAAGTATTGCAGGGAAGATTAACTTGTGCAGCGAACACTACAGCAGCAAAGAGAAGAGCCCACGAGGCAAATGTTGGCTTATTGTTGCTTAGGAACTGTACCAAGGCTGCTGCCTCAGTTACAGAGAAGAAAGGGTGGCGATGTATTTGCCTCTTGAGAAATGGCAAAGGAAAAATTAACCTTGAGAGAACAAGAGGCAGAGTGTGTGACGGACATGCATATGGGTGGGAACAATGCAGAAATGTGCGCAGATAAGTTACAGTAAGGCAAACTATTATGAAAAATCCAACAGACACGATCATCAAATATTAAAAACAATATTCCATTTGATCCTGAGCTAGTCATGCTGTTTATACATATATAGTATACATAATGCTGTTATTTGCAGAAGTACTATGTGTCTTCACTTTTCTTTTGCTCAACTCACATGGAGTTGTGGTTTTAAGCCACACACTTCTTGCCCTCCTCCGGCTCCTTGTATAACCTTGCCCAGAAGTTAACAACATCCAAACTGACACTGATTTGTAATATTTCATGGGCACCTTTCATTATTAATGCCCCCTGTTCTGCAGTACGTTGCAGTTGTTGGGTGTATCTATGGTCGCATTACTGTTACCCAAGGCATTTGTAACAAAGGGAGACAGAGTGTGTGTGTGTGTGTGTGTGTGTGTGTGTGTGTGTGTGTGTGTGTGTGTGTGTGTGTGTGTGTGTGTGTGTGTGTGTGTGTGTGTGTGTTTGCAAGCTTGTGTACATATTAGTTTGAAAGCCGGTGCGTGACTGTGCCTGGGTGTGTGAAGGTTGGGGTTAAGTATTGTTGATTTGATCAATTGTGATTTTGTTTAGATTTTCTTTTTTCTTTATTTTGATAAATTTGACTTGCCATAATTGATTTATTCGGCCAATGGGTGGCACAACATGCAGTCAACACTCACACTGACATATTATTACCATGTAAAGTCAATGTTGCTTATTTGTACATCCAGCTCACAGAACAACAATATCATTTAAAATGTTTCAAGCAACCCGATGATTACAAGTCCAACGTTAATTATTCTTTAAGCTCTGTTTTTGGTCCCTACCGACTCCTGAGGGAAATATCAGGCCCTTCAGCTACAAAATGCTCCCGTATATTAACCGGATAGTCGCTTATTTTGTCACTGTCCTTTAGTGCTTGGTAGTTAGAGTACAGTGGGTTTTTATTGCTTTTCATTGCTGCCCTCTATGGATGAAAATGGTGCTAATGAGAGCATTAACACGACACAACATTAAATGAATTGAGCTAAAAGATTTGGGTGGTTACGCTAAGTAGATTTGTCACTATGAGCTACCTCTTTTAAAGTCACACTCAATAGACACATTGTTAATATAAAAACGACTGATAAGAGGGGATTTAAGGTGCCATAACATTAAAAACCCTCTTAAGGAATTTGTCATATGTCACAAGATATTTGGTTGTTTTGATTTGTAAAATAAAGAAAATGTGAAGTTTAATCTTAGCTTTGACTAGACATATAAAACACTGTATTCTCATTATATGTAATATTAAACTCTGTATCATAGATTCCCTTCTTTGCATGTAATCATTTAAGCTCATACTTCATAGGTTATACTTTGCAATGAACAATTGATTCGTGAAGGGAGTGAAATAAAAAAGCAGGTTTCTTTGGTTACATTTTGTGTGGGTTTTCTATAAAGCTGGAGTGGGCCTGTGCAAAGAGCCCAAGCAGGCAATATTTAACCAGGTTGGTAGCTGGTTTCCTGTGTGCACCAGCCTGAACCATCAGGATATTAACTGTTAAAACCACTGGAGTGTGATTCACTCTCGTGCTGATTGATTTCTTTGAGTCTCACAGAAGAGAAGTCCACAATTCCCGGGAGTTGTTACTAGAGAGAAAAGCATTTCCAGACACAGGCACATGCTGCCAATTTGACAGGTTTAGTTAGGCACCTTGGCTCCACTCCTTTGTTGTATTTTAAAAGCATCAGTGAATATTTTTTTTCTGAGGCTTGCTGTGTTTGAGTGGGGAAACAACTGATTTCATTCCTTTGTCTTAGGGTTTTCCCCCCACATCTCCAGACATGAAGAAATTGTTGCAGATGAGTAATTTCTTCTTGGCAAGCCTCAGGCTGGATAAAAAAAAAAGAAGCCATGTTCTCAAGTAGACAAAAATAATTCACTTATCCTGTCACCGCTTTAATTACTTTGAATAAAAAGTGGCGATCACTAATATTGAAGTGAATTATTTTCTATCTTGAATTACATCTTTGCATTTAGTGTTGTCTGTTTAAAAGCCATTGTTTCACACACATGTAAACACTCATTTCCAACGCTCTGTCTGGGACTGTGTGTGAGTAATTGTGTGTGTGTGTGTAAAAAGATTTCTGGAAAATGCGTGTGGAGGTTTATGTTAGGGTGCACGCATGGCTTCATGTGTTGGTAAATGTCCGTGTGGGAAGGGGGGAGATCAAAGGCAGACTCCGACTCTCCATTACTGGCCTTCATTTCTTTAAACTGAAAATATAATTTTCCCATCCACACTTCTTTGAGCTCCAACATGTGGTTGCAGGTAATATTTCTGAAGTGTGATACATACAGAATGTGGGGCCCGAGACGTACAGTCTGCTGTGAAGCTGCAGCCTGTTTTGTCTTGTTGCTAATTTTATTGCAGCTGAAATATGCGGCCAAGAGAGCGTTTGAACTCTTGGCCTCAGTCTCGCCCAAGTCGCGGCCCAATTTAAGCCAAATTTGAAACAGTAAAATCCCAGAGGATGTAGAGTAAAGTGGCTCTGCCAAAATCCTTCATGCCCTTCCTCACCCTGCCATCTGCTTCTTAAAGTCTACTCCTGAAAAAAGGCCAACTAGAGTGATATGTAGTGCCACTGCATGCTAACATTTATCAACATTTTCTTGCAAAAAATATTTCAGGGACGCATTTTCTTCAGGGCATAGTGACCTGCTGCCACTTTTGATTTGTTGTATTGTAAGTATTTGCACATCCCGCTTCTGTTTCTGTAATTTACCCTGTTATAAATCACTTGTCTCGCCCTGGCTTTGACTTAGAGAAATGCTCATAAATAAGCCTCCCCCGGTGCATTTCTCAGTTTTTTTTATAGACGGTTGATTTATTTGGAAACGCCACTGTTGTTGGGGTACCCCTTTTTCAGGAGCTACGATGTAAAGATGCAGAGACAAAGACGCATATACAGTAGACGGAAGTTAAAGCAATAATTTACGAGAGGCCAATCCACCATTGATGACACTTTAAATGTTCAGACATTTCCGTAGACAGAAACCCCTCCCACCACCACCACCACATTAAACATGTGAAAGTTTCCTCTCTTTGTAGACCGCCACTGGTCCAGGTTCAGACTTAAAAGGCATTCTCAACCTCTTTATCAAGCCTCTTTTTTTATATCTTTCCTCGCTTTAATCTAACACATTCAAAGAGTTTGTCAAGTTATACAAATTCCTACAGTCAATGACAAAACAACTGATATGGAAAAGTCTAGTTCGTCAACAAACTATTAAAGGGGAAGACGTGCAATGTGATTAACCAACATAGAAGTAATAGTACTCAGATATGGCAAATAAGTAAAAGCAGAGAATTTTCCTTTAATAGTTTCCGTAAAAGAAACTTTAATCAACAGTACTTAAAAACTAAAATTGGTCTTGCTTTCATTGATTCGAAGTTTTGTGAAATCAATTTCTAGTGGATAGATAGATAAGGAAATGCATGCACATAACAGTAATGGATATGTTTGTTTCACTCTTCGGTTTTCATTAAGATATATCCTTTAATAATGATCTTTAGAGCTACTAGTAGGCAGAATTTGGTTCCTTTTAACAGGATGCATGTTTCCCCTAGTTTCCAACGTTATGCTAAGCTATGCTATCCAGGCTGCTAGGCGACGCTTTACATTCAACACACGAGATAAAAGTGGTATTGTTCTTCATCGTACTCTTCACGATTGAGTAAATTCCCCAACATTTTTTGAACTATTCCTTTAAGATTAGGTCGACAACAAGAGAAATTGTAACATCCTCTCATGGAGACATAGTGCTAAAATGTCAAGGCTGTCTCAAGATTATTGGCATGAGCACCAGTGATGTTGACCCTTTGATCGGCGTCATGTAGTCTTGATGCAGAGTGGAATAACACG